TTCCCCTGCAGTGTAAGCCATTGCTGCCATAAACTGGGGGCTGCTGTGAAAGAAAATCTTACTCCAGGCAGACATTTCCTGTTGAAAGATGAAACCTTGCATTTTAGCAGTGCTCTTACTTTGCTGACCCAAAAATAAGTGGCTCAGTGGCTTAACCTTTTCTGATTGTAAGGAAGGGAATAGACAAGCCTGTACTTTGAGAAAAAAACCTCATATATTTCTTCAGAACTTTGAAAGACTTACAAAATTAGCTATATATCATTTGTAATGCCCAATGGTAACTTTTTTAATTCCAGGTTTTTTTTTTAATGCAAGTTAGCTTTTTCAGAATCTGAAATGGCATCTGAAATGAGCTGTAGCACTAGTAAATAGTTATTTGTTTTTCTCCATCATAACATTACTCTTTTGTGAGGATTTTAAAATTTCTTCTGGATTTTGAAAATTATTTGGAAAAAAATTGAATGAGTAGGATGGAATTTTGAAGTCAGAGGTGGTCTCGGGCTGCAATTTGTGTCAATTTAATTCCAGGATTACCTGCAGATGGTATCTGCAGACCATTCCTCAAGTGTAATGACATAAGAATCAATAAGAATAATCTCATATTTGATTGCTCATTCTTTCCCTGTTGGTCACTACAGAAGGCTCATTAATATGAGTATATTATTTTATGAAAGTGCTATTCTGTTTAATGGGAAAATTGAAGCTATTTAAAAATATTTTTCCCCAGAATAAGAAATATTTTCTCTGTATTGTCTGTTGATTTAGAGGCAATCCAAAGATTGAAAAGTTCAGCTGAAATCCCCTTTTTGGCTGCAGGGTTCCTTAAGAGAACTGTCCGTGCTACATGTTCTGGCAGAAATGTACTGCCACTTTCATCTGCTATTTTTTGGCCTTCAGAGAAGAATGGTGCCCCCGTCATGAAGATTGCCAGTAACTTTTATTTTGCAGTCTAGCTGAGAACCTAATCCTTGGGAATAGAAACCAATTTAATTTACATGGGATACCAGAAGAGGTTCTCTGGAAAAAAAAGATGTTGGGATATTAATGGATTTTGCTGTTTTTTAAGAAAGCCAACATTTATGCGGAAAGAAAACACTGAGAGCTAACATCATTTTTATGTGAAACTCCTGCTTTTATTAATAAATAACAGGAAAAATAGAAATAACAGGAAATAGAAATGCTTGGCAGTGTTGGTCCTCAGAACTAACTCTAAGAAACTTCCTAACCTGTTTCAGACTATGAAGGTCAGCTGTGAATTTAGAGAGAAGTGATAGGGGTAGGAATAGAAAGTCCAAACAAATAACTTTAATAGTGCATTTTTTCAAGTCCTGCCTGATAAACAGGTCACACTGTAAAGCCCTGTGAGATGTGTCTTCAGAAGTGATGGGCAGACTTCAAGGGAGTTTCACAGATACGTCCCCATTTAGAAATGGTGACAATTTTCCAGTTCAGAACAAACATCTAGTGATATAAACCAGTGTCTGTGACAGCCATGGGAACTGGTTAACTGGGGAGCATGCTTATACATGAGAACGATGTTCTATTCCTTCAGCAAATACGATGAATTTTCCATCTTGGTGTTCCAGTAAGAAAGAATATGAAAGGGAAATTGTTTCACTGGCTGAGATCCTAAATATGGATAATTTCTTTGTAAGCCTCCTTGAGAAACAACGTGGGCCCAAACTATTTATTTCATCATAGATGAACCTGAAAGAAGAGCAGTGTAAAATGGCATAGCCCTCTGAAGTCTGTTCTCTCACAGCTTGAATGAGTGCACTGAGCTTTCATGAATCCTGACAAGCATAACTGGGATTAGAATAAAGTAAAATATAATGGAAGTTCTTTGTGTATGGGAAAGTTTCCACAACAGAGAACATAATGTGAAAGATATCCTTATAAAAATGAATGTAATTTATGTATGGTTTGCAATATTCTGTGCAAAATAGTCACATTGGGAAAAAGCCTGAGATGATGCCAATAAGTGTTTTTGATTGAAGATATATTTTAAATCTTTTTAACTTGGTTAACTTTAATTTGTTCCTGCCATGGTCAGGGACACGTTCTACTTGGGCAAACCTGATCTAGAGGAAGGTGTCCCTTTCCCTGGCAGGGAGCCTAGAACTGGCTGATCTTAATGGTGCCTTCCAACCCAAACCATTCTGTGATTCATTCTATGATTCAATATGAATTATAGCGAAATCATTTTCAAATATGACTAATTAAGGAAGCTGATGTTGAAACTTAATCACTGTGAAACTTGGAAGAAGAAAATAGAGTAAGACTGCAGGGTTGCAATTCTGAAAATGTATTTTATGTTTCATGTGCATAAATATATTTCATAGGGTCTCAAATACGTCCTGAAAATGTTTAAGACACCAAGATAAGCACAATTTTGGGAAAGTGAGAAGAGTCCTTCAGCATTAATTAACACAACTTGTCATAATTATATGAATAAACACTTCCAAAACACTTTTTGAGAGTGTCAAAAGTCTTCCCCTTTGTCACTGCTTTTTGGAGATGCCAAAATATTATCATGACACTTGAAGAGTTCTGCAGCCTGCTTGGCCACACTGCTGATATATGAGAAATAACCTGAGGGGGATTTAGTGAGAGCAAAAGGACTGACTGGTGTTCCCATGCGTTTATTTGATTTACTTTTAATAACTTACCACATAAATCATTCAGACACAGCTACTCAGATTTAATAGTGAGCTACAGTAGCAACTCTAAAGATTTTTTTTTTTCACTAAGCAAATATTACTGAAAACATATTCTGAGTTTACATTCTTTCTTCACTCAGGGATTTCTCACTTCAGAAATACTTTAAATTATGGATAGAAATTAGACTACTTAGTACTATTTACTCTGCGTAGTTGTGATTTAAAATGTGATTGTATTCCAAAGGGCAACCTGGTATAAATATGGAAGATCTATGTTTTTGAGCTTATGATTAGTTTTGGTTTAGATTTTATAAGTAAAAGGATTTTTTAAGTCGATTTTTGCCACCTCTCAAAAAGGTCCATCTCCTTTTCCACTTTTCTCTTCCCCTTTTCCTTTTGCTCTTTCCCTTTTCCCTTTCTTCTCATGCTTAACCCTGTGATTTTGGTTGCTTGGTTTCTGTGGTGGGTTGGCCTTGAGCTGGACACCATGTGCCCACCAAATCTCCTCTGTCACTCCCTCCTCAGGAGGTCAGGGGAGAGGAACTGTAAGGAAAAGCTCGGACTGAGGTGAAAGAGGGAAAATTCCCTTGTTTAAGTAGAAATATTACAACTAGCTGGTTAGGAGGAACCCAAAATCTGATGTATTCCATATTGTTAGGAAGAGTACATCTATGCTTTAAATAGAAGGTCTTTTATTTTTGCACTGTATCAAACAGTATTCACAATTAAACCTGGAATTTTGTGGAATATCCTTGATTTCCTGACACTTCTGTCAAAGAGAGGGGCACTACAGAGAAGCAATACTGGGACTTGGTCATATCTGAATATAAACAAATTAAACTTGCATCAGGTTTTCTAACGTGACATAAGGGCACAGGGCAAAGCTATTTCCTAAAGGCCTTTCTTGCCTCCTGAAAACATTGCCATGCCTTGGAAAAATCCATTCAGTTGTATTTATATCATTAAGCACAAACCAAGGTAGAGTTTCTAGATCCAGAGTCATGGAGCAGTCCCTCCTTGAATCCAGATTACATCAGGATTAAAATTCTCCATTTCATGTTTGTCTTGAAGAGAGCTGGCTGGAAGACTCCAAAGTGGAGCCAGGGAATGAACTAAAAATTATGTGGACAACCAGAAGGTTCAATGCTCAACTGAGGCTTCTGGTCCTCTATTCCCAAGCAGTAAAGGTAAAGATAATGATTTGTTAAGCAGCAAAGGTATGCCTTTGATTCCTGTCCCAAGCTGCTAAGGAAAATGTGGACCCCTCTAAATATATACCTGACACTCCCTACAAAGGGAGACTCAAGTTTGGCTTTCTCCACTTGTGTATTATTTTTAGCTTAAGTGAAATTAGCCCATCTGCTTGTTTTACTAGGAATTTTTTAAGAAGAGCCTTTCTGAAAAAAAAAAAAAAAGTCCTCTTTTCTCTTTTATAGTGAGCACACATTCATCCAGCCCATTTTTTCTTATTTTAAACTAAAACTAATTACATACCTTTTCCATATATGAAAGAAACATATGCATTTTATTATATTTTCATATGGTCGAGGCAGTCTTTCTTCACAATATACTACGGGATGAAAAAAGAGAGCCGTGGATGCTCTTTAGAGCTGCAGCCATCTTTATGAACCCCTATTTATTAATTTCCTTTCCTTCTTTTCTCCAGGGAGCCTTGAAGGTGGCCAGGGTCATCACAGCAAACTGAAAACTGATTTGAAGCCTCAGAGGAGGTAATAATGCTTTCTCATTCCTCCCTTGTTTAAGCCTGACAAACTAGCTGTAACTCTCTGCAGATTAGTAACATGCAATATGGCATGGTAAGACAGACCAGGTTTGTGTGCCCTTAAACTTCATTAAGGGTCTTACCTTCCCATCTGATTAGATTTTTGTTTGGATCTGAGCTGCAGTAAAATCTGGGTCACTGGGTTAATGAACAATAAGAAACAATTAATTCATAAATCTGCCAAGTGATGATGTGGAATACATTTTAAAGTCTGTAAGGATTTGGAGGATGCTGTTTTCCCTTTTTGTCTTGCTAATGTAGAATGCACTTTGCTTGTTCCAGTTTTGGAGACATTTTAACTCCCTAAATAACGAGCCATGCTTTCACTTGCCCACATTTTGTATTTTTTAAGCTGTGTAAATCCTTTGGCTGCTCGGTGAGTATTTGTGAGCATGAGCAGTAAACCTCTCTCTGAAAGTGAGTGGCCGATTTTATGAGTGTTGAATGGGTAACCAAAACAATAATGTTTGTCTTCCACTTCACAAGAAAGAACAGAGGGTTTGCATTCAAGCCATTTTAATCATATCACTATCATACTGTGCCCTTTATCTAGAACTAAATATCAGCCAAAGTTTACTTGAAAACGAGCCTGGGTTTTGCTCAAATAAGCTAATGAACCTTTGTGAACTTCCAAGACTGGGCTGAATTTCAACTTTGGAACAACACTTGAAGCCAGGTGAGTTTTACTGTAAATATTTCCACCATGGTTCTAGCAAAAATCTGAACTTGTTTAACTAAATGCTTTTGTAACAGTGAGGACTGGATGACAGACTTTTTGTTATGAAAAAACCTGAAAAGTAAGAGCAGTGATAATATGCTACTGGTGAAATTGTGTGCTGCGTTTCTAAAAGTGCAGATTGAAACGTTAAATATAAATGTTCTCTTTCTTCATCTATACATATTCATATATAAATGTTCTCTTTCTTCATCTATACATATTCATATATAGGTACTAATAGAAAATGTCCTCAATTTCAGTTGCATGCCTACAAAAATACTGAATGTGCTCTGTAGGTATATAGATTTGTAAAACCTAAGACAAAATGAACGTTACTAGTTACACGATTTCTAATCTATGTAAACCCATTTTTAAGGGGTTTGAACTTAAATATAACTTACAGAAACGAAAGAAAATAAAAGGGGGGATTCAGTGCAAGAACTAAGTATCACCTCAGAAGCAACAGCAAATTTTGTATACTTCTGGTAAACAGACAAGAGCATAGAACTCTGTGCTGATCCATAAATTCCCCTCTGTCTCTACCCTCCTACCCCAGAACATTACTTGGTTTCATAAGCAGATGGAGCTAGCATGGAGATGCCTTTATATAGCAATGCAATTGCTTCAAGATGGACCACAGTGCTTGATAAAAATAAATAATGAATAAAGAACAGTATATGCTGGGCACTTGACTAGCCTGAAACATAGGGATTTAGTGATCATTTTTCTGAAAAGCATTTGAAGTTTGTTCCAAATAGTCAAAAATGCAGCAAATACATGTAGCCAATTCTCCAAGGTCTGTGAGTGTGGAGGCAAAATGGAACAGTATTGGGATAAGTACCCTCACACGGGTGCAAAACATGTGATTTGATGAAGAAACAGGTAATTATCAGAATAACATTCACTTTGAGCTCTTACTAGCTGGTGGCATTGTGGTATCCCAAGGGTTAAGGTTTTGTAAGCTTCTTTAAATTGTTGAGTAAAGATTGTGTAAAAGTTTTCTTTCTATAGCATTAATCTGTAGATTAATGTTTCCTGTGTTTTAATGACATGTTCCCCAGCCGCAGATGAGTGGTATAAAAAATGTTTAATTAGAGTCAGTCATAGCCTGCTGGCAAGCAATGACCTTACCTTCAACCCAACATGCTGGAAAAAGAACTTGCAGCCTTTTTTGTTCTCTTTTGACATAAAGACATAATCTGTATTATTTTGCATATTCTGCTGAATGTTAACCATAATAACAGAACAGCATTATCAGTGTTTTCCAAGCAATTTTTTTGTTATTTCCTGCTTGGGATTTACTGAGAGAGCTGTGTTTGTGGAAAGGGAGACAGAGACATAGAGGGCTGAAAGTTCAGCAGGTTTTTCTGAGTTTTGGACTGCAACTTCTGTTTTGTTGTCTGTACCTAAAAGCAAAGCACTAGCTAGTCTAGCCTGATTTTAATGTAACCACTGCACTTAAGGCTTCCACTCACCACTAACTATTCCCTGAGGCGTTTATTAGTTCAGGCATGTATTCCATAAATTACACAGAGGGCACGATACTGTGTTTCAGTTTATCATCTAGATACGTCTGTGTTTTTAATCTCTTTTGGACGATGGAAGCAGGGGGTTTACTTCTTTTACCATGCACTCTCCTGTTTCCTAGTGAAAAACAAGCTTTCCTAGGAAAGTTTCTCGTGCTGCATCACAGAAAGGAAGAAAATCTGTCTGCCATTATATGCTGATACAATTAAATACATGAGCTGGCTCGCATTGACATGACTTGGCTGCAAGTCAAGAAGGTACCCATAAAAAACCCCTAAAATCTGTGTGTGCATGCATTCATGTGTGCCTGTGTATAAAAAATAACTGGGACACGCCAATTATTTTTCTCCTGGTTTTAAAATGGACTCCACACTTTTATCACTGCCAAAATAAAAGAAAATAAACCAAGTTTTTCTTTTGACCTGTCTTGCAGCCTTTATCAGCTTGGTAAACGTACACTGGGAAACCAAAGAGAAACTATTGGTGTTCTTTAGCAGAAAGAGTGAACCAAAACCAGACTTTCTGACAGTTTATGAGAGCATGTAAAAAGATCATTTCCTGCCAAAGTCCCTAGCTATAACTGGAAGATCAAAATGTCCTGATTGGGAGATTGTGTTAGTCACAAAATATGATATACACGTTGCATTTTGGAGGTATCATCTACTTAACACTTACTGTTGCTGGACTGGGAAAAAACAGTGCATATGTTGCTACCTTATTGAGTGCAGCAGTAATAATGAAAACGGCAGAGAAGGTGGAGGGGAGAAGGAAGTTACTGCTGGAAGGAGCCAGCATTGTGCTGAGAGGACAATGCTGGAGTGTGAGTGAAATTCCCTCCAGTTACCTCTGGATCGACTCAGCCCCACTACCTATGAACTTCTGGCTCCCTGACAGAAAACCCAGCCATGCACCATTCTGCTTATGCAGAGAGGAAAACCAGCTCAGCCTGCCAGCACACACTGTCTTGCTCTACTGCCCTGGTGCCTCTGATGCTTTTATTTTCCAGTTGCCAAACTCGGAAACAGGGTCTGCTGCAGCTCCTGGGTTATTTGCCAGCCTGTCAGAACTCTCCTGCAGATGCTGAAGGTGCAGTTATGTATTTCAGTGCATGTATGATTAACTCAGGTATAATATCATCTCCTCAGCACACATGGAAATGCTAAGTGTGCAGTAATGAGTAGGACAGGTTGAAAGTTATTTATCAAAGCTGTTTTTAAATGTAAAACTGTTCATTTCATGTTTTACTTGGAAATTAAATTATCTATGGAAAGAAACCCAAAAGGTGCCCCAATGAAAAATCTGTCTGGGAGTGTGGATATGATGACCAGTGAAAACTACTTTGGGTTTTTTATGCACCCATTTCCCCTGTGGGCTAGGGCTCAGACAGCTCTCATGAAGCACCAGGTTCAACAAGAGAAGGGATTGTAAAGCATCAAAAAATAAGTTACTTGATCAGGAACCCTAATCAAGAGATGACAATGCAGTGACAAAAGGCATTTTACCATGACTGTGTTAATATTTTCTCAATCTACTTTTTTCTGTAACAAATGTAATACTTTTATTTTTTAATGCAGTGGATTTTTAATGAAATCAAAAGTTTTTCTAAGAAACATGGATTAAAACATCTGACTTTTATAAAAAAATTCTCAATATAAAAAAAAAATTCCTGACTTAATATAATAGTAACCAACAAAGCAGAGCTTGTGTAAGAGTTTTAACTGGAAATACTGTTATTTCTGCTCTGGTGCATATAAATGTGATGGATTCCTACTGCGAGGAAGACAGAAACTAGAGGAAATAAGGGAGCTACTACACTAAATCAGCCCTGTCCCTGCCCTTGCAGCTGCTGGTGTTTGGTCATAGTCCACAAAGAAGTGTGTAATGCTAAGGAAGCAAAAGAATCATGAGCTACATTGAGTGTGATGCTGATAAAAGCCAAACATTTTTAACATTACTTTCAAATCTATATATTTTTTTATGTTTGTGTATCCTGCAATAACTTTTTATTATCAGGTTTTGTCTCCACCTCTTCCTGTGGCACTAATGTCTACAGCTGCATCTTGATGGTAGAAACAGATTTTAGTTTGTTCTCACATTTTTTTCTTATTTCAGTTCCTGTCTTGAGTTTATCATACTTGTATTATTGCTGATCTCGTCCATCAGTGATTTGTGTGATGGGGGGAGGTGGGTCACAGGGGTCCTGTCCACCTTAGATGCAATTCACTATATCTTTCTCTGTGGGTATTTGCAAGTAGGGTGGTAAAATCCTCCCTCCTTTATGAAGGAGAGAGACTTGGCATGTAAAGGGCAGTTTAAAAGATTGCCAGCCCTGCAGCAAGATGTGGCTGTCTGGCAAAGGCTGTGACAGCCTTCCTCAGCCAACCCACCTTGTTCTGCTTTCAGTCTGGGTTCACTTCCCATTTTGCTTGGAAGACAGAAACGTGCTAAACTACAGGAGCCTTGAAAATAATTTTGTCAGAGATTTGTGCATGCAGACTGCTCTTTTTGCTTGTAATATTAAGAGGACAATAGAAATGCTGATGTTGTAGAACCAGAGAATCATTTAAGTTGGAAAAGATCTTTAAGACCATCAAGTCCAACTGTTGTATCTGTTTTACTGTTTAACCATTTTATCCTTGTGTAATCTCAGTCTTATATTTAAAGAGGACCCCAGCATTTAGGAACAGAGCACAGGTTACAAAAGATTTGTTTCAACATAAACATCTTGAGAAATGTTCTTCGTAATCTATTGGTCACTCAAAGTGCAATTCCAAATAGAGTTTATTGTCTTTATTTAGTAATGTAAGTTTTCACTTTCATGCCCTGTTCCTATTAATCCAACTGAGATGCCCATTAATCTGGTATTCCTCTTATCACCATACTTTGAAACACACCAAATTTTCACCAGAAATCATGACATATATGTAAGTCTTCTCTCAGTTAGGAAAAGAAAAAACCCAAACCACTTTGGTGTCTATAGGCTAATTGTGAGTTCTATAAAACAAAAGATAGTGGCTTTTTAATTCAACATTATTTTGGTTCAAAGCTATCAATTAATGCCTTTCTTGACATGTTAGCACTGAGGAAGACAATATATTTCTGTGTGAACTAAGGAGTGGCTGCAGTTTCAGTGATGAAGCCAGATCATTTGGCTTCATCACTGAAACATCCACCACGGTTTTCAGCAGGGAAGAGCATAGAAAAACCTACTTAGTACTGCATTTTTCTGCTCCTATAGCATTTCTTTATCATAGAAGGTACAGATTAAGAGTGTTGTTTGTGGAGCTCTGTGAAGACACTACAGATAACACTCTGTGCTTCCCAATTATCCTCCAGAACCCGTACTGCTCCTTCTCTGCCAGAGCCTGTGGGGCCCTGGGGACCCCAGGTTCACGGTGGCTGTGGTGATGGCATTGCCACAGAGCACTTGT